GAACACTACCAATACAGGATCCTGCCCTTTTGCCTTTCCACTGCCCCATGTGTCTTCTCAAAAGTGCAAGCAGTCGTAATAGCACATCTCAGAAAGAAAGGGTTCTTCATTTTTCCTTACCTGGACGATTGTCTCCTCAAGTCCCCCACTCACTTGGAGGCGATCCGAGCCATTTCTGCAACTGTGCACTGCTTCCACACCCTGGGTCTGCAAATAAACAGAAGTAAACCTACCTTACGACCTACCCAACAAATCAACTTAATCGGGGCACACCTCGACTCCACCACGGGTCTTGCCTCTCTTCCCCAGGACAGATTCCACACAATGGGTACCCTAATTACCCAGATACGTGCCACCCTGTGGGTTACAGTCTGAGATTCCCTGCAGCTGTTAGGGCATATGGCCGCTTCCACATTCGTGGTCCCATATGCTTGCCTGTACATGCGATGCCTTCAGGGGTGGCTAGCCATGGTATACAAACCAAATATCTACAGATTAAACAAATTGCTAACTATGCCTCTGAAAGTCAAGGACTCGCTCCTCTGGTGGACCTCTCCTTTCAACATCTGTGCCGGGATTCCCTTCTGACAAGAGCCGCCTTCACTGACCATCACTATAGATGCATCCCTCACAGGATGGGGAGCGCATATGGGTCACCTCAGGGCCTCTGGTCCTCTACGGAAACCAAGCTTCATATAAATCTACTAGAGCTCCGAGCCATACACAATGCCTGCCTCCATTTCCTTCCCATTATCCAGAACCACAGAATTCGGATCATGATGCACATCATCGCATGCATGTTCTATGTGAACAGACGTGGGAGCCCGGTCCCACTCCCTCTGCACAGAAGCGGTAAAACTATGGAATTGGTACCTTCAACACAATATCCATATCTCCGCCTCATACTTGCCCAGTTCTCAGAACACCACCACAGACGAGCTCAGTTGATCCTTCCCCATACAGCAAGAGTGGGAACTCAACAATGCCATTCTATCCACCATTTTCCAGACCTGGGGTTATCCCCAACTAGATCTATTTGCCACGGCAATAAACAAAAAAATGCCCGACATTCTGCTCCAGAGCCGGCCTGGGGAAACACTCTCGAGGAGACGCCTTCATGCTTCCATGGACCGACACTCTCATGTATGTGTTTCCACCAATACCGCTGTTGAACAGAATAATACAGAAGAAAGGACAGATCCAACATCATTCTAATAGCCCCATCGTGGCCCAGACAACTATGGTATCCCTTCCTAATGTGGATGTCGGTCAAGCCACCGATTCCCCTTTCCCCTCCTCAGCAACCTCCTATCACAGCGCAGGGGCAAGCTATTTCACCCTGATGTACAGCGACTCCACCTGAGGGCCTGGCTAATCAATGGTTCTCTAATGAGGAGTTAACATGTTCTGAACAAGTGTGGACAGTCCTACTACACAGCAGGACACACACCACGTGCACTACTTACCTACATAAATGGAAGAAGTTCACATCTTGGTGTACGGCCAAACAGATCTCCCCAGTTTCCGCTCCACTCCCACTGATACTGGATTACCTTAAAACATCAGGTCTCTCAGTGAGTTCCCTCAAGGTCCACCTCGCGGCAATCACCACATTTCACCATAAGATTGACAACACTACAGTCTTTGCCCATCCAGTAACCAAAAGGTTCCTGAAGGGCATCCAAACATTATATCCAGACGTAAAACCACCTGCTGCACCCTGGGACCTCCACCTAGTCCTCAAAGCCCTGATGGATAACCCCTTTGAGCCAATGGCTACATGCTGCCTTCTCCACCTATCCATGAAGGCTGCCTTCCTGAGAGCAATCATGTCTGCCAGACAAGTAGGAGAAATGGGAGCACTCATGGCAGAACCTTCATATACCACATTCTTCTGTGATAAGGTCACACTCCACACACTGCCTAAGATACTCTCTTTCTTTCACCTCAATGAGCCAATACACCTACCAACATTTTTCCCAAAACCCCATGCTAATGCTTTTGAAACAGCAATGCACACTCTTGATGTGCGCAGAACACTATCCTTTTACCTGGATAGAACAAAACCGTTTAGGAAAAACCCCAAACTTTTCATCTCTACCACTCAGCGATCACAGGGAAAAGCTATCTCTACCCAGAGACTCTCCAAATTGATTGCAGACTGCATATGTCTCTGCTACCAACTGAAGCACATACAACCCCCTACATCAATTAGGACACACGCTACTAGAGCTGTCTCCATTTCCGCTGCCTTTCTCCGTAATGTCCTGCTTTCTGACATATGCAAGGCCGCTACCTGGGCATCAAACCTTACCTTCGCCAATCATTACGCTGTCATGCACACAGCAGCATCTGACACCAGGATGGGTAGAGCTGTCTGGTCAACAGCCTTCTTACCTGATTCGAAGTCCCAACCATCCTAAGGGATACTGCTTTTCAGTCACCTGAAGTGGAGCACCCACAGGGACATCTCTCGAAGAAGAAGAAGAGGAGGAGGTTACTCACCCTGTGCAGTAACTGACGTTCTTCAAGATGAGTGTCCCTGTGGGTGCTCCACTACCCGCCCTCCTCCCCTCTACTTCGGAATCTGGAATGCACTCCGTTGTAGAGAAGGAACTGAGGAGCCCTGGCCATGCATGCGTTATTCAAACACTGACAGTTCATGAGGCAGGCACAGCGCGTGCACAGGCCGTAGGGGTACTGTTGTAGAAATCTCCGATCAAAGGTGCTGGGACGCATCTTGACCTGAAGTGGAGCACCCACAGGGACTTTCATCTTGAAGAATGTCAGTTACTGCATAGGGTGAGTAACCTCCTCTTATGACTTATAACTGACATACCCTTACACACGAGTATAGTTTATGTCTACACTACCCATGTTACAGTGTGGCTGCAGCAGCGCTGTGACATGGGCAGTGTAGACACGCTTTATCGCCGGGGGAGAGCTCTCCCCCAGCGATAAAAAACAAAACAAAACAAAACACCCCAAACGAGCGGTGGTAGATTTATCGCCGGGAGCGCGGCTCCTGGGATAAAGCGCTGTCTATACTGGCGCTTTTCAGCGCTAAAACTTTTGTCGCTCAGGGGTGTGTTTTTTCACACCCCGAATGACAAAAGCTTTAGCGCTGAAAGTGGCAGTGTAGACACAGCCTTAGTGCAGTTTTTCAAACATAACTGTGACTGCACTAGGGCTTTTGTCGGAATTACTATGTTGATTAAAAAAAAATCACCATCCGCAACTGACATAGCTATGCTAACAACAGATTTTTGTATTGTAGACTAGACATTATGCACTTCTGAAATTCCCACCTATAGTATATAGGCTGTAGAGGAATCTAGTTATTTTTCCCTTATGTCATTTCTGGCAGAGAAATATTGACCTGTATGAAGAATGTGTTATGTCCCACTTGCTTTCTTTGACTTAGGAGATTTTGTATATATCATCCTAAACCTTTAACTGTATTTGAATGAACAGTAATCAGAAGGCACAGTAGACAAATAGCCAAACAGTCTCCCCACTCTTACATAAATCTATGATTATTAGATATCCTATTGACCATCTGGGGATGGGGGACAACACTTAACTCATTTGCAAGGCTCAACCCCCATGGAAATCTTTGTCCCATTAAAGTCAGTGGCAAAACTCTTAGAGTTCAGTGGGACCAAGATTTCACCACCATCTATCATTTCTTAAATCTTTGACTGCAAATAGTAATGATCACAGCTCACCACCTGCCTAGCCATTATCAGGTTGCATCATTGCAGAGATGAGTTTTGAGGAGAGACTGGAAGGAAGACAAGAGGCGTTATGAATTTTGACTGGAGCTTTCCCCACTCACAAGGAGTGGTATGTGTGAGAGCACAGAATACCTTTCTGAAGAAGTAGAGAACTGGGGGATTGAGGTTGGCATCCCTGGAAGTAAAACTGGAAATTGACCTTGTGATGGTAGGTATACTGGGTGGGGTAGGCTAAATTGGAGAGCTTTGTAAGTGAGGACAGGAAGTTTGAGTCTGATGCATTGGAAGAGGAGAGCCAATGGAGGGATTTAAACAGGCTGATAATATAGTCTGTGTGATGAGATCTTAACAGTGGTATTTTGCATTGATTTGATTGGAAGGGGGAGCACTGAGGCTGGGGAGGGAGAGATTACAGTAGTGAAGATGTGGGGTGATCAAGGCTTAGACCAGAATTTGGCTGCGCGGGCAATGTTGTATGGGAAGAAGTGGTGAGATTTAGACATGAGGTTTAAACAAGAGGATCACAAATAATGAATAGCTTCCTGCACAGTAGTTTGGATGAATTGTGATTATGATTCATTGAAAGATTTGGGGGAAATAATGGATTGACAGAATTTTTTCAGACAACCTGGCAATTTCTGAGTGTTCTTTAACATTGAAAGCCTTGTTCTCACCTGGTAGAACACCACTCTGATCAACGACTTTAACCCTTCAACATTCTGATCCATGGTCATTACTATTGCTAGTGGCAGTATTACATTAGATACCTCATGTGAGATAGTAGCCCTGCTTTGCTGAGCACTGCACAAAAAAACCACATAGTGACAGTTGGTTCCTGCTACAAAGACCAGGCATCTAAATAATCAAGACCCAAAAAAGACTGGAGAGGAAATGGAGCCACAGATAGGGGAAAGGACTTGTCCAAGGTCACACAGCAGGTCACCAGCAAATCTGGGACCAGAACTCAGGTCTCACAAGTCCCATCCCACTACCCGAAGGACTGGAGACTGTTGCCTCTCATTGTACAAGAAGCAGCAAATCAAACCAGGCTCACTTATACACCAATGTACAAATTTGATGTCAGTCTTGGTTGGAGTCACTTTTAATAGCTGTTTCTATTTTTTATGTAGTGCTGATGGGGCCATACTTCCTCCCTTGTTTTAGACTAGTCCCACTGGGGTTGGCATCATATGAAATGGAGTCATTTGGTTTTTGTCCCTGCTTACAAAGTAATATGAGTCGTTCTGGGATTTTGTTTTTCAGATCCATTTTTTCCAAAGGTGAATCCCTGGATGGTGGCGATGTGTGTGATCCTGGTGGTTTTGTTTGGTTCCTTTGGCCTTAGTGCTTATCTCTTCAAAATCAAAGGTAAATTTAGAATCAGGAAATACAGTGTAATTAGCAAGAGATTTTCTTTTTAAAAAAATGAATACAGTAAACGATTTGATACTAGCCAGACGTGATGGGAAACATGTAACTGCACCACCTCCCAGCAGCACAGGGAAGAAAATGCTACTAAGATTCCCCTTTTGTCCAGGGGGGTGGTAACCTGCACCAGCCTCTGGCTCCAGCACAGAGAACGTCTCCACCAGTACCTGCCTGCAGCATTGTAGGATGGAATGAAAGCTCAGTCCACTGTCCGCTGCTCTTTGCCCATTCCCCACCCACCTTTGCAGTGGTGCATATTGTGCCAGCCGAGCCTCCCTCAATCCAATGCACACAGCAAGGATCCAGGTAGCCCATGCATGAAACTAAGGAGGTTTAATTTCCCCCTTACTCTCTTGTGTAGGGGTGTTGTGCAAGATACAATCTTGTCCTAACTGCAGAAGACCATGACATTTCCATTTATGGATAGAGAGAGAGAGGTATGGTATTGGAAGGAGGAGAAAATTAGGCAACGGGGCTGAATCAGAAACCCAGATCAAAGCAGTTATATCTGCATCTTGCTCAGACTTCTGTCTTCTGGGGTCACTTATGTCTGTCTCATTTCCCACAAGACTCTGCAAAGCCTAGGGCTGGCCCTGATATCTATTAGTTAGTTAGTATCTATTATAAGTGGCAGATTAGCCACTGGGCCAACAGGGCTGTGCCCAGGGGCCCTGACCAATTGGGGGGCCCCAGAAAAATGGGCGCCCCCGCACCCTGACCTGCTTTGCCCACTCGCCTGGCCCTCCTGCTGGGGAGTGCGATTGGGGTCTGGGGTTTCCCCCACTCCACCCACCCAGCACTCCTGCCAGGGAGCAGGGGAACCCCTCATGCCCTGACCCTGCTCCTTGGCAGGAGCGTCGGGCAGGTGGAGCAGGGCAAGCCCCCGCACCGCAACCCTGCTCACTGGCGGAAGTGATGGGTGGGAGGGCAGGGCAGGGCAAGCCCCCATTCCCTGACCCCATTTCCCCAGCAGGAGCTCTGGGGGAAGTGGTGAGACTGCAGGAGGAAGGGGTGGGGAGGGGCCCCACTTACTCTGGCCCAGGGCCCCACAAAACTCTAATCTGCCTCTGCCTCTCCCCTGGCGTTTAGGGCAGTGACGAAGCTCTTCCACTCCTGTCTGTTTCTGGCAAGTCTTTCAATGGTTCCCCAGCTGTGCCCCATGTTTTTCAGCTCAGCTTCCACAGCTCTTCGCCATGTTGTTTTCAGGTGACCTCATTTTCTCTTGCCTTCGGGTGTCCATCTAATTGCTATTCTGGTGATGGAATCAGTTTCCATCCGAAGCACATGGCCAGACCATCTCCAATGCCTCCTGGTAATGATGGCACTCATATCTTCTTGGCTGCACTTTGTGAATAGGTCTTGGCTTGAGATTGTTCTGGGCCAAAAGATACGGAGAATTTTTCTGAGGCAGGTTGTATGGAATGAAGACAGTTTGGACACATCATACTTTGTCATTCCCCAGCATTCTGCACTATAAAGTAGTGTTGGAAGTATGCAGCTCTGATAAATTCTGAGTTTGGTTTGGTGTTGTATTTTGATGATTTCCAGACTGTATTCAAGCTCCTGAAGGTGTTCTTGGCTTTACTGATTCTATTCTGGATATCCTTGCTTGTTCCACATCCTAGCTGATGGTGCTGCCCAAGTATGTGAATGTTTCTACATTGATGAGAACATGATCTTCTATCCATACTGGTGATGGTGAGGCAATATTAATGGTCCGGATATCTGTCTTATTGTGGTTGATTTGCTGGCGGAATGTGTTGAGTTGGGTTGTTTTTTCTTGTGTATGGTTTTGACTATGTGATAGGAGAGCGAGATCATCTGCGAAGTCCAGGTCTTCAAGGGATGAGAAGGCTGTCTATCTGATGCCTCTTGGCATGTCTTCTATTGTACGCCGCATTATCCAGTCAATGGCAATGTTGAAGAGGATTGCTGAAATGACACCCCTAACTTACTCCTGTTTTGACTTCAAAACTGAGCTCACTGTGATCAACACTGCATGTAAAGTTGGAATAGAAGCTTTTAATGATGTTGATTATACGGAGAAGAATTCCATATGCCCCTACAATGCGCTATAGGCTGGTCCCGTGAATACAGTCAAAGACCTTCTCAAAGTCTCTGAAGTTTATGTAGAGTTGCCGTTGCCATTCTGAGCATTGTTCTATTATGTTTCGTAGAGTGAGTATCTGTTCTATGCATCCACGCCCTTTCTGAAAACCAGCTTGCTCTTGTAGGTGACCTTGTTTGTCCCTAATGAGTGTGTTTGTTGGTGTCTGCCCTTTGCCACTGATAAGCTGCATCATTTTTTAGATGGTTCCTTGTTCACAACAGGCAGCTGCATCCTCTGCTTGTAATGCCAGATTATCAGTATAGTGTTGTTTGTCCACTCTCACAAGGTGTTTGATCTCCCATTGTGCCTTGCTATATTGCTCATAGTGTTTGTCTTTTAGCTTCTGAGATTTTGTATCTAAAACTTTATTCTTCAGGGCTCATCTAGTTTCTATGGCATTCTATGTGTTGGGTGTAATCCACTCCTTTCTTTTCTTCTGCCTGTAACGTAATCATAGAATCATAGAATATCAGAGTTGGAAGGGACCTCAAGAGGTCATCTAGTCCAACCCCCTGCTCAAAGCAGGACCAATTCCCAGCTAAAT